TTGTTTTTCATTACTGCTGTTCCAGTTTCCATCAAAATAGGATTTTAATATTCCATTTCCATCTGCATCATTTCCGTGCAATGCTAAACACTGAGAATGAGAATGACTGGAAGTAGTAGCGTGATGCCTGTAATGAGCTCAACTCTGTGGTAGGCATCATATTACTCTGGTAATGCAGCAACAGGCACAGCCCCAGCATCTACAGCTCATCATTATCAGCTTCATAAAGGTCATATATATTGCATGGCAGCTGCACAGTATTGATTTACATTCAACAATGTGTGTCAGACCCAACTGAAAAAACAAAACAAACACAAAAAAAATAAAATCACAGGTGAAAATTTTGAAATCAGTTCAGCAGTAAATAAAATATGACAATGTGTGTGTGGATTAAAGTCCACGCTTCACAACGTCGCTGTCCCCTCGAGGTCCTGTGTGTGAGCCAGATAGCCTGTCCGGGCCTTCATCTCGCTGCCTGCTACCATCAGCCAGTAGGAAAGAACATTTGCTCCCCTGCCCAAAGAAAGCGCTGGCGCTTGGCAGAGTCAGTGCCACTAAGGAATCAGGTGTCAGTTGGATCAACTCAGTCTGGCAACACAGCTGACCAGAGGCACAAACTGTCATGACCTTAGTGACCGAGCTGAATGCACCGCTAAAGGCACCTCACAGGAGACCACAGGGCTGCTCTCGTGAATCATCAGCCAAAGCCCAGACGTAGCTGCAGTGCTTTGCTGACTGGGACACAATTTTTGTTTTACACAGTGACTTTACTGTCACCTAAACTTGGGGAATGAAAACAGGAAAAGGAAATAAACAATTCTAACTGAGTGGCAGTGGGGGTGAAATAATTTCGTAGAAATTAGTGGAACAAAAAAGCAGCCAGTGTCAATGAAGCCAACCAGGCTAAGTGCAGAATCTGATTTCCGATTCAGTTTCAATGAGGCACTTTTCATTTCGCCTCCCCTGCCTGCCCTGTTTTACATTCTCAATCTTCAAAAGCACCTCTCCCCCTCAGGAACGTGCAGAAGAGGGGTTAGATCTTTAAAGACAGACATACAGCAGCGCCACAGCCTGGGTCTAATACCTGTTCATTACACAAAACAAAACCTCTTGCTCCCATTCGCAGAGCACCTGGTAATGTGGCCCCAATAATAGCCCACTCTGCAGTTCACACACAGCATCAACTCCGTCCTCCATAAACAGCAAGCCATTTCTTATTATGCCACGTTTGCGGACACGAGGAACAGAACAGCATTTTCACGTTAGACAGAATTCACTGTAATCCCGCTCAGTTTGCTTCTCTTCCTCTATTGATTAACAAGGTCTGCCTCAATTGATTTGCAGAATTCAAACATGGAAATTAATCTTAGAATAATTTAGCCAGTGATGTGAGCACAGCTGGGTATAGAGAATTATTCAATGGCAATGTCTCTACTAAGATATATTTGAATAATGCTGTAAGATTGAAATCAAATAAAATGCTTTTTCCAATCGCCTCTGGGTTGTTTTTTTTCAAGCCATCTGCAATATTATTTCAAATCAAGGCTAGAGGTCCATTCACTCTGTAGCTCATGGGATGATTTCAGCATTACTCATACAGGGCATGTGTTAGGCAACTTTCACCCCTCACCCAGCAGTTACTACTGCAATGACCCCCTCTGCAGATGCAAATCCACGAGCAGCATCCTTGGATTAAAAGTACATCAGTGAGTTTCTTTATAGGCTGTAAAATTGAACTTCTGTTTTACTAAAGCAAGCAAATAATTTTTTTTGCTTACAGCAGCGTGACCGGATAGCGGCATCACCGAAAGTCTTTCAGAGATGAATGAGTTTCCCTGTTATCTAGGGCAAAAATACAATGACTAACATTAACCACCACCTCCTCCTGCCAGTCGAAGCCACCGAGGTGAAATCCCGATCTCAATTAGCTTCCAACATCTTTTTCCTCAAACTGCACATCCCAGGTAGGGCTGCACGCTTTTGCATAAAATGAGAATCACGATTTTTTTTGGCTTAGAATTGAGATCACGATTCTCTCACGATTAACCGTGCAGCCCTAATCCCAGCATTTAAAAGATCTGTGCAAAAGCTGCAACTTCCCTTGGGTGAGAAGTGAAAAACAGCACAAGTTTGGGTATAAGCATATTCACTGTTCTCAACATGTAGCTTCAACTTGAAAAGCAGATCTTCAGACGAATGAAAACTAAAGCAGAACACTTCTCGAAATCGACTGTGATGCAGTCGGTGAGATCGTTTCTCCAGCGATGACTCTCACTCCTGTTGGCCTTGAACTAAAGCATTCACTTGTAATTTTAGTTATGCATCACATCCTGTCAGTATGCACACAGAGGCTCTCCCACTAAGAGCACATAATGTGTTTTGTAAGTTACTTACAGCATTTGTGTTTGTTACTTGCAGCCGATTTCATCTTCTGTCAGTTAAAATATCAAAAAAAAAACAAAGCATCTGAAACAGTCACAGTTTTCATTTTATTCTGGGATTATCCACTTCAAGGGTTAGGAAACAAGATTAAACATTTGACTAGACATGCTTCGGTGCTTTCAGTACTGAACAATTTCAGTATTCAGTTTCACTACGAACTACAGTCAGTCAAAAATACGATGAGGTTAAACATTAACCCTCAGTTACCCAAAGAGAGGCATTGAAACAGCCATGACAACGACAACATTTCAAAAAATAAAACTGGATGACTTTGATAGGACGACCTATGAATGGTTTTGATGCCTGCACCGATATCAGAGAACCGGACACCAAGTGACACTAATTCCCTTAAATTGCCCACAAGCTTTAATACAGAGAGATGGCGCTTTAGGAAAAAAGATGACAGGTGGATCAGACGCGCTCTCCTTGCCAGACCTTGCTGCTGTGAGGGAGGTCCAGCTCACAAGCAAGCAACTTTTAGTCCATCAGACAAAGACATAAGTACTAATGAAGCTGGTTTTTCTTCTTTCTGATGCTGCACTGTGCATATTAACGCAGTCCAAACTTAAAGCAGAACTAACCACGTACGGGCTGGCTACCTAATGTCAGCCACAGCTCCCTTTCCTGTCAAATCTAATAGCTCGATCTAGAACTTCTGAGGGGAACGCACTATTAGCCAGCCACATCAAAGGGATGCATCAGAGAGAGGGGGCGCGAGCGAGGGAGGTGGAGAACAAACAGGGTTGCGGAGGGTTGATACTCCTCCATTCTTGTTTCAAAGATAAGCTCATGAACAGCAAACAACCTTGCAGTGAGGTCACAGGGCTGTGCAAGACAGAAGTGTCATCAGACAACAATCGCACACGTCTGTAAATCCCGCTCGCTCCTGTTCTCCTGAATGCTGGGCAACCTCAAGGTTTCTTCTATCACACAAGGTGCACATGCAGAGAGGATTCAAACTCTCGCTCTGTTACTTCCTTTATACATTCACGCATGCACACCAGGGATTCCCCTTCAATGCACGCGGTGAGGCAGATTGTGCCACCTGCCTCATTTATTGTAATCACTAATCACATTTTTTAATATAAATAAATTACAAAAAACAAACAAAAAAACAACAGGTGCATGCACACCCCCTCCGCCATCCAAACATGTACTTTACTTAAGGCTGCTGTTCTAATAGCAAAGGGAGAGTGATAGAACAATAAAGCAGTGCATGAATAAATTTCACTCCATGTCACGCCATGTTACACTTTCAGACAGTGACACACAAGAAACTGAGGGATTCTCACCCAGCCAAAGCTTTCAAGCCTCCTCTTTTATTCAGCAGACAGACATGGAGCTGGCAGTTTAATCCACGCTGCTGGTCTCAGAGTAATCATTAAATGCTTTCAGTGATGCAACGCAGGGTTGGACCAGGCAATCGTCCCTCAGAGTACAAATAAAATACATTGGACCCCCCAAAAAAAACCTGGACTATTCCTGGCAGAACCCACGCACACAGTTCGAAATGAAACACAAAAAAGGCATGACAGACGTGTCACGGCTGGTTAGCAGAGAGCCAGCCTGTGAGGGGCTTCACTATGTCCGAGGAAAGTTTTGCAGAATCTCAGAAAGGCACACAAACACGGGAAAAAGTTCAAAGTTTGGCCAGAAGCCCTTCTTTTTTTTTAAAAAAAAAACACTCTCTTATATCAAAGTCTTAACTGTGGACTCGGTATCCCAGCCGTCAGCTGCACTAAATGTCTCAGAGTGTAAGGAAGCCCTTTTCGCACCACAGCAGTTTGTACTCAGACCCCACCTGAAAATGAAACTTTAGAAAATGTACTCGTATGGAAAACCAAAGGTGCCCTGCAGAGGCAGGGAGTTTCAGAAGGAGAAACAATGGTTTCCACTGAAAATCGCAACAATATTTTTAAAAGAAAGAAAACTGGGTACATTTTGCTCACTGGAAGCCTTTTACTGTAATATGCATGAGGCACATTGCTGGCACACCAACTATATTAGCCTCCATAACCTGTGCTGGTGCTTATCAGCGGGTAAACAGGACAAATCTGTGTCAGAAGGACCGGAGCCACTACGCTCATTCATGGCCGCTTCTTTCCGTTTTCACCCAGCGTCAGATGAAGCTGTCACTATTGTCCTCGGTCACTCCTCTGACCCCCTTCTCCCCACCGCCTGCTCTGATATTGCACTTTTACTAGGAACTACAGTATCAAAGCAGGCGTCACATGACACTAAAAGCCTCACCAAAGTCATTCAGGCTCACCTTTTTTCCCCCAAACAGGACAGTGAGGGGGGGAAAGCCGTATAATTTTAAAGCACTGCGTCGGCACAATGGAGCTCTGTCCTAAATGACCGTCTAATAACTGAGCACAATAAGAAGCTGCTTTTTATAAACTGTGCAGGCCGTCATTTTATCATTTTTATTTTCACGAAGGATCGTTACGAAATGTGTCACAGTTAACCTGCCATGTTCTCACAGAAACTTCTTGACAGAACAGGCTAATCTCGGCGAACCGCCTAAACCCGCCAGGGCTGCGGAGAAACTAACTTACCAGGGGTCAAACTCGTGGATGATGCTCTCGAAACGAATGACAGCGAAGAGCCTGGAGCTGAACCCAGCCAGCCAAGCCAGGAACAGGATGGTGAACGACAGCAGGGACTGCCACCCGGCCGGCTGCGACAGGCCGCCGGACAGCCCGCCTCCTCCTCCTGCGCTGTTGCCTCTCTCCGCCACCGCCGTGCTGCTGCGCCCGTTCCCAGAGTACGCCACCCCGGAGTTCAGCGAGGATTTGTGTTTTTCAGAAACCGGGTGATGCTCCGCCATATTCTACGTCAGTCCTGTCGTGGCAAGCAAGCGAAGCGAGCTATCAGTTCTCGCACAGGAAAGAACCCCCCTTTCTTCCTTTTCTCTGCCACGCTCCACTTCCAAACCCACTCGCACCACCTTCCCTGCGGGCCCCGGACCCCCCAAAATCACCGGCTGTATCTCCAAACTTTCTAACCTTACTTCCCACCGACCGCTAAACCAGTTCAATAATCCCAGGGAGTTACATAGCAGCGCGGTTTTGCAGCACACTGGAAATGACACACACACGCGGCTCGAGCAGCTCTTCCTTCCTGCCTTGGAGCTGGATGAAAGGGGGCGGGAGCAGCGCGTGGAACAGGAAGCGCTGTCAGCCTCTCACAACGAGACAGGTACAGCTGAGGAGGACGCGGTTCCAGAAGAAACCCAATCCACGACCAAGCGCATTTGACAGACGGCCAATACGACCAATGACAAAAGAGCAACCTGACCGGTGAAGACGCTCCAGCGTGAGAAGCGAAGTGAAAGATGGTGTTGGAGGGGGGCTGACAGACAGCGGGAAAAGCCTATGGCACGCGGCAGGCTTTCTCTCCAGCCAATGAAATAAATGAATCTCACGGAAAATAGTAAAGAAACTGACAGAACAAGGACCGATGTGCCAGAAGAAGGGCTCTGTGCCAACTTTCTGTGTGGTACAAGCCGGTCTACCCATTCACACCGGAAGTAATGAGCTGTTTCTGATGAAGACATCAAGATGAAAGACAGTTGTGTCAGATCAACCAGTACATGCCGCTACCACTATGTGATAAGGTCTCAGTTACAACTACCGGCTATATTAATGATTAAGTGAAGTGACAGAGACCTCCTATCGCCATAAGCTTATGATTTGACTACACAAAGAGAATAAAAGCAATTTTATATTTCAAAACATTGAAAAATATAGACCTTCAACATGAATGTAAAAGTAATTTTAAATTTTACAGGTTCAAAGAATAATCTTGTCCTTTTAATTAAACAAATTCATACTATGTAACACGGATAAATGGGGGGACTTTAGCAAACCTGAGGTTACATAAAAACGCTTGTGTGGGGCAGGGGTGTCAAACTCCAGTCCTCAAGGGCCGGTGTCCTGAAACGTACATGTGTCCCTGCTGCAACACACCTGAATAAAATTAGTAGGTCATTAGCAAGACTTGACAGCATGCTCCGGTGGCAACCCCTAACTTTACTCAAGTAAATTCAAATAAATGTAAGTTTTTGGAAAAATGTACTTCTAAAAGTACTTTTGTTGCACCATGTTCATTCATTCATGAGGTGCTGTAACATGAATCAAATGTCTGAATTGCCACCTCAGCATGCAGTCAAGTTTTATAGCGTCTTAATGACCTATAGGGTCAATAGCTACCAATGGGGTGGGGGGTTGAATGTTGGGAGGTTAATTAAAGCGCACTTAGTTGAAGCTGGGAGACTCACAATAGGCCCATTTAAATTAAAGCATGTGCATGTGTGTCAAGAGCGTGTTTTTCATAAACTAGCTTGGATATTGGTCTCAAAAATACATTTGGATCTGGATGAGGGGGGAAAATGAAGGAGACTGGTGGTGGTGTGGTGTGTGCTCATAAATAAACACATTTTTTAAATGAATAAAAATCAAGGTTAGTGTTTAAAATCAATACTTTGACAGTTTTAGGGTGATACTGAGAAAGTGTAAAACCATACTGCATGGGGCTGAACTTATTTCTCCACATTTATTTGTGGATTCTATTTGCCTTTATTTTGTTTATTCAAATTCTGTTGCCCAAATGAGCAAAAATCCAAGAGAGAGATTAACAATATTTCCTCCTTGTTTTAGGCATAGAGGACTGTGACTGACTGTGCTTAGTATGTTTATAATTCCAATGGTTTTAAAATACAGCCCAAAACCACGGCAGAACCTCCACCATGTTTCACAGATGGCTGTAGACACACACTCACTGTCTCTTTGCCATACATATCAACATTGATTTGAACCAAAACAATCCTATTTGGATTCATTACTCCATCAGATCTGTTGCCACTGTTTTTCAGTCCAGTTCTTGTATAATTTGGTGCATCTCAGCCTTTTTTCTTTGTTTCCCAGCCATTGAAGAATGGCTTCATGACAGCCACAGAAACCATTTTTCATTGTGCTACCTGCAAAAACAAACGTTACAAATGAATGAATAAATAACCAGTCACAGTGGTATTATATTATTCTGTGGGAGAGGCTCAATATTCAGTTCTGTTCACATTTCTCCTTCAGTCTTGTCTCCACTCTGAAACAAGTCATGTGTCTTGGTGGAGCAGTGAGCCAACAGATCTACAATAGCTGTTTCTCTACCAGGAAACATCTTCACTGGCCTATAAAACAAAGCTGGATCCCTGCAGCAGTTTGGGGAATCTGAGACCATTAAATCCGTGTGTCTTGGATACAAGTTGACAGATAAAGAGATTGTTTTAAAACCAATCCTTACAAAAAGAAAAGCAGAGCAATAGTCCTGAGATGAAAGAGCTGTGCTGCTTTGAGAAGACCTCAAGCTTGATAATTTATCTACTGAGGCAAAGGGAATCTTCCTGAACAAAAAGGCATCTTCGGACCCTGTAATGAGTTTCACCATCACATTTAACAGAGTCAGCTATCTCAAGAAGAATTACGGAAGAGAGAATAAAGACTTAACCCTGAGAGCAGCATGTCTCCCTGTGACAGTCTAGCCATTGTTTCAAGGTTCCTCCACAAATTAACCCTGAGCAGGTCTGAGCATTTGTGTGTTATTGTATCTTTTATATTCAGGTATCTGAAATGTAAATTAGTGATAATTCTGTTAGTTTTTCACAATGTGGGGACTTTATTTCATTTGGAGAACTAAGAAAGGATGGCACAGCATTTGAGAGGTGAGGGTTCATTTCAGTTTTATTTAAACTAATCTTACTTTAAGACAGCTGATCATAGTATTTGTGTTGAACAATTATCAACATATTTGCTCAGTCTGGTTCTCAACAGCGTTGCTTTTCTCAAAAGAGAGATTTCCTGTAGATTTTCTGATCCCTGCCTGCTGAGGTCATCCATTAGACCATGAAACATTTCCCCTCTGAGATTGAGAGATACTGGCTAGGTATAGTTGGGCTCACCTCAGTGCATGGCCTGGGCTCCAGAACCAGTACTGGACTTGAAGAAAGCATCTGCAGATGCTTTGTGAGCATGGGCTGTTACGATGCATTTGTCCTCTGTACAACTGCAATGGGAGCTTAGTCTGCATTGATGACAATAAGTCCTGCCCTTTGCCACTGATTGTGTTCATAATTTTTGTGGGCAGAATTTCCAGGTGAAGCCAGTAGGTGGAAGGCCTCCACCTGAGAGTAGAATCGATCTTTTATAATAAAGTCTCTCACAGAAATTACTTCCCTTTTTTTTTTTATCAGTTTCACATGCAAATAGTGCACATGCAAATAAGCCGTCGAAGAGATGAGCTAGAAATGTTAATATTGACTTGTACCTTGTATGAGTTCATTCTACTGTAAAGGATTTGTGAGATTAAAATTGTGCTTTGCAGAATTTAAAATGGAGTCTTCTGCAGAATTCAATACAATGCATTAACATGAGTGAAATGTACCAGAGAAATGAGGTAGAAAATTCTAGCCCAGTGATTGTAAAGGCCGTGTGGACTGAGAGTGCAACGCAGTGTGTCTTCAATGTGTATAATGCCCTCCATAATGTTTGGGACAAAGACACAAGCTTTGTAGTTTGGCCTCTGTGCACCACCACAGTGGGTTGTAAATCAAACAATCAATATGCGAGTGCAGACTTGCAGCTTTAATTCAAGGGGTTGACAAAAATGTTTTACATGCAATGATTTAAGAATTACAGCCACATTTCTACACCATCTCTCAGTCCCAGAGGTTTAAAATTAGTGACAGTTTCATGGCCAGATGAGCACTGCTCTCTTGTTGTTTAATGACAAACGAAGTGGACATTTTATCTGATGTTGATTTAAAGTGTTACATTTATATTTTATAGCTTTTCACTGTAATTTGATCGTAATTTTAAAGGTGAAACCTAGAAGAGATGTTTGTGTGTAGGAGAGAGGCTGTAATTAGACTGAAAGACTCAAATAAACCTATCAGAGAGAAAACTTTAGAAGTGGCCAAATTCACAATCTGGTACATTCTTTAAAAGAATGAATGCACTGACCAGCTCAGCAGAACCAAAGGGCCCAAAAGACCACAGAAGACAATTAATGTGGATGTTGAATGAATTTCATACCATCTAACCAAGTCAAGAACACTCTTGAGGAAGCAGGTATATAACTGTAATAGTCTATAATCAAGAGGTGTCTTTGTCAATGTTAATACAGAGGGTTTATAACAAGGTGCAAACCCCTGGTTACACCAAGCCTGGGAGGGTCAGTTTAGACTTTGCCAGAAAGAAGAGCTGCACAGGTGTGTAAAAAAAGAAATCTTTGAAGCAAAATTAACCTGTACCAGAATGATGGGAAGCGAAGGAGCTCATGATCCAAAGCATGCACATCATCTGTCTAACCTGGTGGAGGAAGCATTATAGCATGGGCACCTGTGTCTGCATGTGGCTGCTGATAGAAGTGACAGGAGGAATTGTGAAGCATCAGCCAAATGCTGCAAAACTGATCAGACTGGTCTTTACCAGTTTATACCAATTTATATTAGTCTTTACCATTGATGCTGAACTTCTCAAAATTGAGGACTGCAATTTTTCATGCTAAATTTTTTGTAAAACCTATTGAATTAAAGCTGGAAGTCTGCACTTCAATCGCATGCTGATTGTTTGATTAATAGTTCATTGTGGTGGTGAACAGGGGGCAAGACTACAAAACTCGTGTCTTTGTCTGAAACATTATGGAGGGTAGGGAACGTTTTGTGATCTGGAATATAATGCATGTGGAAAAATACCAAAGATACATCAGGTTCATAAACTTATAGGCAAGAGTAGGCTTTAACCCTCAGCATTTGTTCATTAAATTATGTCTTGCTTCCACTATCTTTAAGTTTTGCATTTCACTATAACCATAAGATAGCCAGGTCCTAAAATATGATCTAGCGTATTAGAGCTCGCAGGAACACTGTGAATAGTCTCTCATATGAAACGAGTGATCACATGCTTAAATGAGCATGCCATTATTCATTGTACTAATCCCACATTACATGTTTTAACAGCTATTAGGGTAATTAATGAAGTGATGGAGAGTGACCTTTACAACTAATGAGCCATATTCATTCATTTGCCACATTTGGGCGCTGTGCAGTTGCACTCTGCGGAATCTGTGAAAATCTTACTATCGAAACACAGGAAGCAGTTTGTGGTGAGCTGCTTCCCTCCTTTCTAGTTCAGTTTCAGGCGCTAAAGATGTACAGTTAAGTGAAGGTGTGATCAGGCTTTTATGGTTTCAGTTGCATGATATCACAAACTATTGACAAACTGGCAGAAACTCGACTCAGAATAAACATGAATATAAAACAGAGGAAATACTTTTTGTCTATGGTGACGTCCTGTTTCTTATTAAACTGGGATGCAAGATTAATATGGTGAACATGAATCATTAACCAAATTATTCACCATGTAAAATGGTATTATTTTGTTTTCTTTGAAACACGACATGAACAGGTGGTTTAAAAAGTAAATTTGTATTAATGATCTATCCTAATTTGTTTATTTTGCATTTGGATAAGTCACGTGAACTCCGTAAACTTTACTGAAGTAAATTTGAATTGCACTTTATACACTGCTCCAAAAAATGAATAGAAAACTTTCTAATCAGAGTTCAGCATCAGGTCAGTTAAAACTGTGGGATATTGATGGGGTCAGTGAAGTAGCAGAGGGGGCTGTTAATCAGTTTTAGCTGCTTTGGTGTTAATTAAATTAACAACAGGTCCACTAGAGGGGCAACAACGAGACAACCCTTAAAATAGGAATGCTTTCTGCATTTGGCTAGGGTCAGTGTCACTACTGGCAGCATGAGGCAATACCTGGATCCTACAGAGCTCGCCCAGGCAGTCCAATTCCTGAATAAATAAGTGTCATTGCCAGTGATAGAAGTCATTATGAATGGACTTTATAAAGGAAAGTTAGGAGAGCTTGTTTAAGGTATTTAAATTATCAGTTAAGAGACAATGAGCTTAGTTTTTGTTAGATTTGCTGCTGTGGGATCATTGGGCTCATTGTTGTGTTACATGACCCATTTCTGGGCAAGCTTTATCTGCCAGACAGATGGCCTCACATTTGACTTTGATATACAGAGGAGCTCATGACAGTGGGTGCTCAGGTCACGTGACTGCAAAACAAGCCAAAATCAGCACTCCACTAGCTGCGGAAGTGCTGATAACATTAAAAGAATTAAGTATAACCAAAACTATACTCCTCAGTATGGGACAAAAGATAAATATATATTTCAATATGAGTAAGAAACATAAATTAAGAAAAATAAACAACCTGTTTGTCTTTTACTAATTAAATATTACAATGATTGCTCATGGGAGATTTTAGAGTGTGGGGGGTGGGCGGTATTGACATGCTTTACAGGGTTAATACAGTGTAGCTATATAGTGCAGTACCAAATTTAGCCACTTGACGGGGATCTAAATCTGATTTGTGCCTTTAGGATTCTCCAGACAAGATCATTCCTGAAAAACTTTCATGGCAAGAGTAAAGCTGTACCATAAAACAGCAATTAAAAAATACACAGGTACAAAAAGAGCTTTAAGGATAAAATCCAAAAGAAATAAATAAAATAAAAATAAGTAATAATACCTGATGTATTGGAATGTATCTGAAATGTAGCCACGACATGAGCAGAATTAAGATTTGTAGAGCATTTATGGAAAGACAAACCTAAAATAATTTTTTGGTTTAGCTGCCATTTAGATTTAACAGTAGCTTTGTACTTCTTACCTCTAATAAGGATTTTTCTTTTTCTTTTTTAGCATCCAGATCTAAATGTTAAAACAGAAGATCTGCAAGACCAAGTGCAGATTAGAAATTTGATTTAAAAGAAGAACTCTGTTTATTTAGCATATGGCTATATTGATGGTTTGTTGGTGACCTTGTGCTTATTAAAAGATACTGCTACAAAATTTAGATGCTGTTTCCTCCAAAATGTTATCACATCTGTATTTAAATTAAGATCAGGAAACACCTGTACCAATCAGATGATCAGAGGCCAACTGATACAGTGCGAGTGTGTCACTCTCCTGAACAGACCCACTGACATAGACAAAGACCTAACTGTCTCCAACTGTGGGGTGGAGCCAGTGCAGGTGAGGTGCCGACAAGCAGGTGGGTGAAAAATAAGCTGCAAAACTAACCTGAGTGACAAACCAGCGAAAGACAGTGTTTCCTGATGCTATTGCGACGACTCTCGTTCAGTTACATTTAACTTGGATCCTTTTTTTAAAAAAAAAATGTTTGTTATAATTTCATGCTGTGAAATTTTATTTCACTCTGAAGAGCCTAAAACTGTTGCCACTATCAGGAAAACATCTATCAGCATATCAAGATCCTAACAACACCTCTGTTCACTGTTGTCTTGCCTCTCAGCATCCAGATAAGTAAGTCATGTAAAATCATATTAGAGTGCATCATAGGTGAACTGTTGACTCTCACTGTAGCAGTCGGCCTCTCTGATCATCTGATTGGTGCTTTTTTTCATTGTTTCCCTGATCTTAATTTAAACCTAGATGTGACCACATTTTGGAGGGAGCAGCGTCTAAATTTTGCAACAACTTTCATTATTTCATAATCTTTTAACATGCACCAAGTAACTGGCAAATCACCATTTTAGCCACATTCTAAATAAACAGAGTTTTAGAAACTAGCAGATGTCTTTCTTTAAATCAAGTTTCTAATCTACAGTTCTTCTGTTTTCACATTTCAATCTGTGTGGTAAAAAAAAAGAGAAATTTCCATATGATATGATGTTTTTAGGGAAAATGTGTGTTTGTGTATGAGTGTCATTTTTTAAGTAAGGTAATGGTCAGATACTCTGCTAGGCCTCAATCTAAGATGTGTAAATATGGAAGCCTCCTTTCTGTCCAGCGCATGATGCCTGGGCGCTGTACAGTGATGGTCCCACCCACTCACAGCAGCTGGAAAAAATGCAAATGTTGCTTATGCAATAAAAAGACACTGAAAAAAGAGAATTCATGGATGGGCAGCTTTGCTTAAATCCTCCAGTTTCGACAGAATGGGACTCATGAGGTGACATAATTTAGCAGGAAGTGCAAAGTCAATTCTAATGAATCAGGAGTGATTCCTGTAAAACTGAGTGGATTAATAACGCTTCTGATAAGAATCTTTTGATTGCTTTGTGTAGAACGCATGTTCTCCTTTTTGACAGACAAATGTTTTACTGCTCTGTCAAAACACCCTAAGAAACCATAACATTTGAGATAGCATGTGACAATCAGCATATTCCTGTAAACAACAATGCACAATCTGTCACATAATTTATGGTTAAGAAGTAAATTATGGACATGGTTTAAACAACTGATTTGCATGTTAGTTACACTTTCATTACATAACACTGTCTTTTGTGCTGACATTTGAAGGAATTGCTTTTAATTGTCCTGGATTTTGCACAGTAGATTTTTCCACAACATGACGATCTCCATATACATTCTGTTCTTCGAGAGGTGAGTCATGTAACTCGAGGCTGCTGAGAAGACAATTACAAAACAGAAATTTGACTCCAGTGCACAAACTGTACAAACTGACTCAGCTCAAGTCTCAATATTACTTCAACACTCCTACTGATGTATTCATCCGATAGAGCTGAACGTGTAAACAATTAAAAAAAAGAAGTAAAAATAAACTAAAAATACAGTAGAGTACATCCTTCCATGACTAAATTATGCTTAAATATGCTAAATGCATGTCAAAAACCTCCTATCTCCGTGTAAGTTCTCAGTTATCCAGTTGAGTCATAAGAGCTTGAAAAGAAGGAAGTGGCTTCACCACTGCTAGAACAGCTGGAGTAGAGTCCCTGCTCTATACTCTGCTTTATCAACGTGGACTAATAAAGCAGTGGGTACTAGCCCACTTTTAGAAACAGTGGCTGACTCCAGTGGATGCTGGTCGGGTGCTCCAACAGGAAAATGCCCCAAACCTCGGGACTGTGGAGCATGAATAACAAAAATGAAAGCATAAAACGGCTGGAAATGTTAGGATACGTTCTGTGGATGTTGCAGGTTTCGCAAGCTTCCTCGAGCACTTGGAGAAAACGAATTGGTGGAATTTTCCTCTCTGAACACAGACCTGTGGAGTCTTAATGGAAACGTACCAGAAGTAATCATCAGACATGGTGCAACCTGTGGGCGTAGCGTCAGTAGGTGGCAGTGAATGATATAAATACGAGGCACGATGCGGTAATTACACAGCATCACAGTACACCTGTATGAGAACAACATGGAAGGACACCACAAAGGTAAGACTTTAGGAAGTTATTCTTTATTTAGATTGAGAGCTAAATTTCACAACCAGGAAGAGTGTTAAATCACCAAGCACTCTAATAATAATAATGATGATGATGATAATAACAATGCTTTCAAATTACTGTATAAAACTCATAGCAGGGTTAATGGGTTGTGGTAGCTTTGTGTTAGTGGTGAGAATCCAGCTATTTGGTTCAAATAGGTGTGCAAAAGGCAATCATGCTTAACTAATGTCTTTCTTAATGAAATTTCATGTCAAATATCATGTTGCTACAGGCAGCTTCTTCAATGTGCTCTGTAGTGTTGGACTCTTTGAGTACTCTGAGGCCAGCTATTACAGTTCTGGGTCTTTGTTGGCATTACAGATAGTAAAATTAAAGTATCAAGCCAGTGCTTTCTGCTCTCTGCTTTCTGTCTCTGATAGTTAACCCTTTAACGCCTGAACTATGAAATAAGTGCCAGGAAAGTTACTTTTTTTGATACTGGATTTTTTATTCTGACAAATGAGAGAAAAAAAAGAAAATATATGAGTTTTAATTTGTGTCATATCCACTATAGTTAAGAGATATTCTGCCAATTACTAATCTCACTTTGAGGTGCAATAATGTTCTGATCTGTTTTGGCTTTTAGTTTCCTCTTTGCCGTGTTCCAGAGAGGCGGCTTTGATTCGTCTCCTACTGGTGTCAGGGAAACAGGGTTGTTGGGAAACAGGGTTGTTGGGAGACTGTTTAGGGTGTGTTTGAAAGCGGTCAGTCTCAGCACCAGCTGACTTAGGTGACTGTTTTCTGGGACCCTTTTTGGGCTTTGGAGGGCTTTGGAATGGGGCGTGGTTTAAGAACTGGATTTAAAACTTGACTAAAAAATGTGAACACAACTCTGGCTGACCGGCAATTGTTGGTGTTTTTCTGTGTTTGCGTAAAGTCTGTCGGCAGAGTTTCTGTTGGGTGTTTACCCCAACAGCCACAGCTGTGATGACTGGGTGGACCCCATACTTCACTACCCTGCAGAGCAGTGGGCATTGAACTCTAACTGGAATTTAGAAATGTAAAAATAAAAATGTTCTCTTAACTGGATTTAGAGCTTTTATAACCTTTCCTTTAGTGTATTCACCATGTTGATGTTATAATTATGCTATTATGGTTATACCAAGGTGTCATACTGTTTTAATGTGGGCTGATACCTGACTCCTCTTTTCTGTGTTTGAAAGATAAAACACTCTTATCCAAATTTCTCTCAGTAAGTCAGTGTTGAAGGTAAAGTGCCGAAGTGAAATCAGCTTTAAGAGAGAAAAAATCTTACAGCAAAGCAGATTACAGAAGAAGGTCTGTGTCAACTGAACGAGGAAGTGTTCCACACTAAGAATAAAAAAAAATGGGAAATTGGAAGAAAAAGATGAATTGCTAAATCATTCGTTAAGCACTTTCTTGCCAAACAATCTTTTACTTCAGCCAGCTTTGAGGAAAGCTTTGGAGAGCCTCCTTTATCTTTATCTTCTGTCATGTTTGAACGTAATTTGCATCGGCTGAGCTTTTCAAAATGTATCTAGTTTTTGAGAAAGCCACTGATGTCAGAACTCATATGATTTAATTTGTCTTTATTCAGAGGAGAAAACCAGTGATGTCCAAAGCCCGGCAGATCCAGGTCATCCAGTGAAATGTTCTCCAGTCATCATTGACAATATTCCTCTGAATGGACCCACTGTGAATGTACTCGCATCAGAGAACTTCATTCACCAGTCCATGTCCATCATTGTGGAAAATGCAATAAAAAAGGCCACAGACGTCAGAGAAAAGGTAAACAATGAATGTATGGATATGTAACTATACGACAGCAAATTCTGCTCTGTTTGACTTCGACAGTGACATGTTTGTTCCTGCTGATCAGGTTTGTGAGTGGCGCTCTCCCGAGCAGCTGAAAGAGCTGCTGGACCTCGAGCTGAGAGATGGGGGAGAGTCAGAGTCTGAGATCCTGCAGCGCTTCAAAGATGCCATCAGATACAGCGTCAAGACTAGTGAGTGTTTGAAATTTAATGAACTGAGATCCGAACACAGAGACACCACTTTAGGAAAGTGGCTTCCTGAATGTTTCTGTAGCAGTGATGTGGAGGGACATTTAATGAACCCAGGCTACCAGATGCCAAATACCCTGCAGACAATCATCAGAACTATGGGTAGATCAGGAGATAATGGCCCCTGGGCATAAACAGGCACAAACAATATGTTCTCACTCCCAAAGCGTAATATTTGATGCTAGGTGACAAATCGTCAACATATTACACCTCTGGGCACCCAACACGTCCCTAAATGACGAGATCGGAAAAATAAGGAAACGTGAGTGCCGTTTCAATCTACACATGTTCGTTCATTTTACTTAAATTTAAACTTTCGAAAACACTATTTAACGTCATTAAAGTGCTGGTTAAAGTTAGGGAGAAGGTTATGGGTATAGGGTTAGGGATAAGGATAGAGTTATGGCTGGAATACATGGCTGGAACGTGTATTACTGGGGGACCATAATTCTACTGATGTCATCCATAACACTGCGCGTTGCATAAGAAAGCGGAAGGTCACCTTTCACGCTCCTCAGGAAATCCGCGGGACGTGACAAGTCGTCGGGATGTTACGCCTCAGGCATAAGAAGCTATATGTCGTTTAGTGGTCCGTCATGCCTTTAATGTAATTTAGCACCTCTTCTACTGTTGACACCTCTTTTCTTTTATATTTCTGACATCAGTCTGCTGGAGTTTTTAATGTCTCTGTAGCTGTTTTGTGTTGGGCGAGGTTTTTTATTTCACTGGATTTTTTTGTAGTTTCTTTGGTTGTCTTTGTAGTAATTTTGCTTGTTCTTTAGTCTCTTTAAAACTCATTTTTTTTGTAATTTTTTTTTTAACTCCCTTTGTGTCTCTTTATACTGTTATTCCATTTTTGAGTCAACTTAAAAAAGATGCAGAGTTGTGTTGAACTCTTGAAGATGTAAATTCTGAATGAAGAAATGACACTTTGATGTATTTTACCTACTTACTTCAGGATGTTTGATTAGCCCTCATCTGATTCTTACCTGGCCTGATTCAGCTTTTAATATTTTTTAGCTCATCCTCATTTCTTCAACCAACTGTATGCTGGGATGGAGCCCTACTCTATGGTGGCAAGCTTCATTATTGAGGCTCTCAAGCCCAGTCTGTGAGTACTGCACTTATTTACAGCTAAATACTTTGTAGAGAAATCTTACAGGATCATTCAATATTCAGTACTGTTGTAAGATTTGGTTTGGTTTTTAATCAGGTACACATACGAGGTGGCTCCAGTCTTCACGCTGGCGGAGGAAGCTGTGTTGAAGAAGATGATGGAGTTGATTGGCTGGAAGGATGGCGGAGATGGAATCTTTAATGCAGGTATAATCGCCGACAGATAATAACAGCAGGTATACCAGAGTTGGAGAAAGAACGTCAACATATCAAGTCATGAAACTGAAAAAAAAATGAGACTATGACATCACCTCTTCTTTTAACAACACCTTGCACATTTTTTAGAAGATAGCCAATTATTGTAGTGATGAAAACCAAATGCTTATACTATACTGGCTGATACAGGAATTTAACTGCTCAACAGCTTAAAAGCTGCATGATAATGCATCCGGGGAGGGTGACAGGTTCGTATTACAGAAAAGCCAGTTTAGCAACTTCTTGTAATGAGTCAATCAGTTGTGTTATATTACGATTCTTTGAGAAATAAGGATAATCTTGGTGGTAGTATATGTCTCTGATTACGCTGCCTCTACAATTGTTAAGGTTGCCCATGCCGTGTACACAAAAGCTTCCACACCGCCACAGATTATGTGTTTTGAACTGTGTGCACCATATTTCAGTAAAATAAAGGCTTTGATTTGTGCATCATTGCACTTTGTCACAACCTTTTTGGACACACAGTAGAATGTTAATATCTTTTTCTTAAGAAAATAAACATCTCCTACGTTTTTCCCTTCCAGGCGGTTCAATGTCCAACATGTATGCTGTGAACTTAGCCAGGTACCGTTGCTGCCCTGACATAAAGGAGAACGGCCTCTCTGCAGCTCCACGCTTGGTCATGTTCACGTCACAGGAGGTACGTTTTCTAAAAGTCATTACAAAAAAAATTCTTTGACCGATTGTTTTTTTTGGCCACATTTTCTTACTTCCTAAAAGTAAATCCTAAATATAATTTGTCTCAGAAGAAGCTCTTCTCTGTCTTTTGTCTAACCCTCTTAATAAGCAAAACATTCTTTTCTGGCCTCTTTAACACAAATGAATGTTGGCATGAATGTTTTACTTGCTTGATTAAGCAGACAAATCTTGCATCTCTTGAGGGGATGCTCGCCTTGCAAATCTACCAGATTCTTTGAAGAACGGGTCGCGCGGTGAAATTAGATCTGCTTTGTACGACCGTAATTGTTGCATAATTCTTCCTTTATCTCTTTCAGTGTCATTACTCCATTTCCAAAGCAGCAGCTTTGCTGGGGATTGGCACAAAGAATGTCTACGCGATACCATCTGATGAGAGGTAAAGAGCCACTCGCACACTCCCGTCTGTTTACACCTACAGAGGGACCTGGCATTGCACGGTCCAGACTTGGTGTGGGAATACCTCATTGTGTTTCAGCGAAAATGACGCTTAGTCTGCTGGGGTAAAAATGAGTTAGTAAGCTGACTGAATGATGAGTTGCTGTGTGTGTTTTTCAGAGGGAAGATGATTCCTTCTGCTCTGGAGGAGCAAATACTGTCTGCCAAAAGTGAGGTGAGCGAGCAGTCGCTGGCTGTTGTGATGGGCTTTAATTAAAGTTACAGAATTATTGAACAAAATGTTCATGTGCGTGTGTTCAGGGTGCAGTTCCCTTCATGGTAAACGCCACTGCAGGAACCACAGTGCTCGGAGCGTTTGATCCCATCGATGTAATTGCCGACATCTGTGAGAAGCACAACCTGTGGCTGCATGTGGATGTGAGCCCTATGATTAATTAATCAATTTATTTATTTCCTGTAACCATGTCTGACAATCAGCTCTTCTTATTATAATATTCTCTTTTTTCCTCAGGCATGTTGGGGAGGAGCAGCTCTGGTGTCCAGCAAGCATAAACACCTGTTAAAGGGCATCCACAGGTAAACAGGCAGCTGTACGGATGAAGGCATCATTGCCTCTTAGTAAAGTGAAATGCTGATCGTTTCCTGTTGTAACCTCTCCTCCTGCTTTGTGGTTTTTCATCAGAGCCGACTCTGTTGCCTGGAACCCTCATAAGATGCTGATGGCATGTCTGCAGTGCTCGGCTTTCATGGTCAGAGACAAAACGGTAAGCATGAATAATCCTCATCAACAGACTCCTCATCTGTGGTCCAGAAACAGCACATGTGACTGTGGCTTCTTACATTTTCAGCCTCTTTACGGCTCCATATAGTCAGGCTAAATGTTTGACAGGAAAAAAGTTATAAATTATAACAAGCTTGTCACTACTTGTGTGTTAGCTACACAAGTTAGAAAGAAAACTTTAACATTCAACTACACAAAAGGTCAGTTGAATGTTAGGTTTGGCTCCCACTCACTTCTCTCAAGGCCTGCAAATTCACACCATTGTTAATCTCTCACTGGGCTCTTGTGCTCTTTCTGTTAACAGAAATTCAAACTGGAAATGTAGAGTTTACCATTCTAGACAATAATTGTACTCTTTATGTGTCCGGACCCATCTTCATTTTTACATAAGCCATACACCCTATATACATACATACATATATATTGGTTGTTGTTGTTGTTGTTGTTGTTGTTTTAACTGAGTTATGTTTGGACATTGCTTCATATGTAATTATATCTATGTGACAAATACCTTAATGAATACTTTAAGGTTAACATAAAGGTGAGGCCTGTTTTATGTCGGTCCATCAGTGGTTGTTGAAATTCTTGCTGAAAAGTTTAGTGTTACAGTCCAGCTCACACAACTCAGCAGACATGACTGGAATATGAATGTACATCAGAGAAATATGACCAGCCACATGCGCTTAATTAACAAGTTGGGGCTAGGACAGATCACCAGTCTATCTGTCTATAGGGAGTGCAGAATCATTAGGCAAGTTATATTTTTGAGGAATAATTTTATTATTGAACAACAACCATGTTCTCAATGAACCCAAAAAACTCATTAATATCAAAGCTGAATGTTTTTGGAAGTAGTTTTTAGTTTGTTTTTAGTTTTAGCTATTTTAGGGGGATATCTGTGTGTGCAGGTGACTATTACTGTGCATAATTATTAGGCAACTTAGCAAAAAACAAATATATACCCATTTCAATTATTTATTTTTACCAGTGAAACCAATATAACATCTCCACATTCACAAATATACATTTCTGACATTCAAAAACAAAACAAAAACAAATCAGCGACCAATATAGCCACCTTTCTTTGCAAGGACACTCAAAAGCCTGCCATCCATGGATTCTGTCAGTGTTTTGATCTGTTCACCATCAACATTGCGTGCAGCAGCAACCACAGCCTCCCAGACACTGTTCAGAGAGGTGTACTGTTTTCCCTCCTTGTAAATCTCACATTTGATGATGGACCACAGGTTCTCAATGGGGTTCAGATCAGGTGAACAAGGAGGCCATGTCATTAGTTTTTCTTCTTTTATACCCTTTCTTGCCAGCCACGCTGTGGAGTACTTGGACGCGTGTGATGGAGCATTGTCCTGCATGAAAATCGTGTTTTTCTTAAAGGATGCAGACTTCTTCCTGTACCACTGCTTGAAGAAGGTGTCTTCCAGAAACTGGCAGTAGGACTGGGAGTTGAGCTTGACTCCATCCCCAACCCGAAAAGGCCCCACAAGCTCATCTTTGATGATACCAGCCCAAACCAGTACTCCACCTCCACCTTGCTGGCGTCTGAGTCGGACTGGAGCTCTCTGCCCTTTACCAATCCAGCCACGGGCCCATCCATCTGGCCCATCAAGACTCACTCTCATTTCATCAGTCCATAAAACCTTAGAAAAATCAGTCTTGAGATATTTCTTGGCCCAGTCTTGACGTTTCAGCTTGTGTGTCTTGTTCAGTGGTGGTCGTCTTTCAGCCTTTCTTACCTTGGCCATGTCTCTGAGTATTGCACACCTTGTGCTTTTGGGCACTCCAGTGATGTTGCAGCTCTGAAATATGGCCAAACTGGTGGCAAGTGGCATCTTGGCAGCTGCACGCTTGACTTTTCTCAGTTCATGGGCAGTTATTTGGCGCCTTGGTTTTTCCACACGCTTCTTGCGACCCTGTTGACTATTTTGAATGAAACGCTTGATTGTTCGATGATCACGCTTCAGAAGCTTTGCAATTTTGAGACTGCTGCATCCCTCTGCAAGATATCTCACTATTTTTGACTTTTCTGAGCCTGTCAAGTCCTTCTTTTGACCCATTTTGCCAAAGGAAAGGACGTTGCCTAATAATTATGCACACCTGATATAGGGTGTTGATGTCATTAGACCACACCCCTTCTCATTACAGAGATGCACATCACCTAATATGCTTAATTGGTAGTAGGCTTTCGAGCCTATACAGCTTGGAGTAAGACAACATGCATGAAGAGGATGATGTGGACAAAATACTCATTTGCCTAATAATTCTGCACTCCCTGTATATAAACAGTGGAGCATTAGACAGCTATGTGCTTCAGCACAGTCATTCAGCAGAGCTTTGGGCCTGGGGTGGACCTGCCAGTACAGTTCACTGCAGACTAGTTCTCTTGTAGTTCCACATTTTGGATTTATATATAATGCTAAATGCTCGCATAAAGGCCTAGTTGCATTATGGTGTCAACATGTGTAGGTTTACACTTTTTCCAAACTGATTAAGAATCACTGAAGGAAAAACAACTATAAACAGAGTAAAAGGTAACATTCAGTACAGTGCGAAATACCCATCATTATCTAGCCTTGTGCAGACTACAAGTCCTGGTTTCCTGTGTTTCTTGTGCTGACATAAATAAAAAAAGGTTCTCCGACTGATATACCAGAGTCTATTACCTCCTGTTAAAATATAAAATCACTCTATATAACTCATCTGTGTCCTTGTGCTCCCTCAGAGTCTCCTGCAGCGCTGCCACTCTGCACGGGCCTCTTATCTCTTCCAGCAGGACAAGTTCTACGATGTCAGCTACGACACGGGGGACAAGTCGGTGCAGTGCAGCAGGAAGCCAGATGCTTTCAAAATCTGGCTCATGTGGAAGGCTTTGGGAAGCAAAGAGCTGGAGCAGAGGGTGGACAGAGCCCTCGCCATGGCAAGGTCAGTCTGAGGAACCATGGGCTGCAGATAAATATCACAGTGACCGCATGGCAATATTTACTAAATCAGAAATAGGAACAAAAAATTTATGTAGTGGTCCTTCACACCACAGAAGTATTGCTCATTCATGGAATACAGGCTTTGCAGCATAAATTACAGAAGAATAGACCCAGCAGTGCTTCATGCACAGAGACTGAGGACTGCTGTGAACTAACTGCTCTAACTTTAACTGACAATATGAAACTATGTGCACGACTGTGGGGACTAAGCTGGTGCACAGTGCACTCTAGTGGCCATTTCTGTGAATGACCTCAGTAATAAGCAAAAATGTGGAATGGCATTATTATCATTTATGTTTAATTTCAATAAAATAAAAATAATAAAAATGCAAAATATGCAGTAACATTATAATAAATTACTTAATTAATGAAAAATATTACTCTTTTTAAAATGATTGGCTAGCACACTATACAACCCCTAGGCTATATAGTGCATTCTCAATGCATTTTACAGATATATTTGCTTTACTAAATCAAAAATATCTAGTTAATTATCCATATGAAAGACTAATGATTGAATTAAAAAAACAGTTACTTTATTATTAACCCCAATTCTGAAAATATTGTGATAAATGCAAAGACTTTCCCTATGACAGCTGGGACGGGCTCCACTCCTAAGACTAAGTATTATTATGGCTTGTATGTTGAGCGGTGGAAATGATGATATAAATCTGTGCTGCGATCTGAAGCTAAATTTTCTTCATCACAGATATCTGGCAGAAGAGATCAAGAAAAGAGAAGGATTCCGTCTGCTGATGGAAGTAAGTTAATTCACACTAAACCACTAAATTTCATGTCATTACGAACTATGAAAAGAAGCATTTCATTCATGTTTTTATTTATTTATAGAAGTGCATACATCTCAATTTTATATCTCTACAGCCTGAATATGCAAATATTTGCTTCTGGTACATTCCACCCAGCTTGCAAACCCTTCCAGATGGCCCTGAGCTCTGGGAAAAGCTCCACAAAGTAAGTCGTTAACCACCTAAAAGTGACATTCTAAAATTTGATGATGACCAAATCCTCCCGTGTGTTTTGTGCCAGTCATTGCAGTGTTTCCTCCCTCCTCCTGCAGGTGGCACCTGTGATCAAAGAGCGCATGATGAAGAAGGGCAGCATGATGGTGGGCTACCAGCCACACGGAGAAAAGGCCAACTTCTTCAGGATGATCATCATCAGTCCTCAGGTCAGCAGGCAGGACATGGACTTTGTCCTGGATGAGATCAACAATCTGGGAAAGGACTTGTGATGACTCCCCAGCTTTGCACATCAGGGGCAGGCTTGTTGAGAACAGGGCCGGTTTTACCACCACCATTATGGAGCCCCCTCCACCTTTCAGTTTTCACTTCCTTTTGTTGTTTACAATAAATTTATTTAATCTATTTAAATGTAAGTAAGGCAGGGAAGTGATGTAACGACAGGGGCAGAGATGTATGTTTGTTTGCCTGCTACCTGATTTCCTCTTGATTTATTTTTATGCCACAGTTTTTATATGTGAGAGTGACATGCTGTTTGTCTTTTTATTAAAGTCCCAAAACTGATTTCACTGATCAATTTGTGAATGGCTCATTAATCCGCTAGCTTGCACTAAGAGTGCTCACATAATCCAACAAAGATGTGTTAATGTTTTACCAGAACACAGCAGCTGGTCAGCAGAGGCCCCACACAATCACTGTGGCTTGACAGCCACAGCATGCATTCATGTTTATCTCGCTAAGTGAGCATATCTTTGTAGATGCCAGTGACCTAAAATCCTTTGTGACTCTGCAGAAGTTCATAATGGAAGCAGCAGCTGGCAGCAGGGTATTTAAGTCAACATCAGAGAAATACCCCAGCGAACTTGAAATAAAGTATCTTAGCTGGCTTCTTTTCACAAATAAATGAGGGCCCAGAATGAAAGGAAGACAAAAGCAAACAGAGATAGCAGACAAAATATATCTACACATATATGTATGTATTGTATGTAGAATTTATGACATGCTGGTGGTGGTGTGTGAAAAACATCCACAAACAAATGCAACCAAAGCCACAAAAACGACAGATAATAGAATAATTATTAAAAGAAAACTTCAGTCTCTGTGGTAATGTGCCACTAACAACTGGTCAAGTATCACATCCATGCCTTTTCCAGACTCTTACAGTAAATGCATCACACACATTGATGTAACCAGATTCTTACCCTGGATGGCATTACCTTGGCCTCCAGTAACACTGCGAGGAACCTTGGAGTCATTTTTGACCAGGATATGTCCTTCAATGCACAAGTTAAACAAATATGTAGGACTACTTTCTTCCATTTGTGCAACATCTCTAAAGTTAGAAATATTCTGTCTCAGAGTGACGCTGAAAAACTAGTTCATGCATTTATTACTTCCAGGCTGGACGACTGTAATTCATTATTATCAGGATGTCCTCAAAACTCCCTGAAGCCTTCAGTTGATCCAAAATGCTGCAGCAAGAGTCCTGACAGGGACTAGAATAGAGAGCATATTTCTCCTATACTGGCTTCCCTTCATTGGCTTCCTGTTAAATCCAGAATTGAATTCAAAATCTTGCTCCTCACATACAAGGTCTTGAATAATCAGGCCGCATCTTATCTTGATGGCCTTATAGTACCATATCACCCCATTAGAGCACTTCGCTCTCGCACTGCAGGCTTACTTGTTTCCCCCGTCCCCCCAGAGTATTTAAAAGTAGAATGGGAGGCAGAGCCTTCAGTTTTCAGGCCCCTCTTCTGTGGAACCAGCTTCCAGTTTGAATTCAGGAGACAGACACTATCTCTACTTTAAAGATTAGGCTTAACACTTTCCTTTTCGCTAAAGCATATAGTTAGGGCTGGACCAGGTGACCCTGAATCCTCCCTTAGTTATGCTGCAATAGGTGTGAGCTGCTGGGGGATTCCCATGATGCACTGAGTGTTTCTTCTTCAGTCGCCTTTCTCACTCACTATGACCTCTCTGCAATGAATTACACTTGTTATTAATCTCCGGCTCTCTTCCACAGCCATGTCTTTTATTCTGTCTTCCTTTCTTTCTAACTTAACCCTAACCGGTCGCAGCAGATGGCCCCGCCCCTCCCTGAGCCTGGTTCTGCTGGAGGTTTCTTCCTGTTAAAAGGGAGTTTTTCCTTCCCACTGTTGCCAAAGTGCTTGTTCGTAGGGGGTCATATAATTGTTGTTTTTTTCTCTGTATGCATTATTGTAGGGTCTACCTTACAATATAAAGCACCTTGAGGCAACTGCTGTTGTGATTTGGTGCCGTATAAATAAAATTGAATTGAATTAAATTCACATTGACTTTTCACCTTCTAAGAAATATCAGTGTTTCCTCATTTTATTCTACTAAATATTTGTGTGAATAATTACTACGTAGGTTGATCTTGTTTTATGACCAAAGCTGCACTTTGTGGGTTTACAGTGACCCTGATGTTTCATGCTAAAATTGAAGAAATTTCCCTCAAAGTATCTTTGACACCATGTCATGTTTACAAGAATGGGATGGAAAACATGAAGACCGGTTTGGCTGTTACTGGCCTGCATAACAATGCATAACATAATTATTCAGGGAGCGAAAACACATGGGCATTGCTGAAAGACAAATATATATTTAGATAAAACAAAACAAAACACAAATGTTATACAGCGTGTGGAATTCTGACATTTATTTTAGTTGTCTGGTTGGTATTTACAGATGAAATATTTACAGATAATCAGACATCTTTGTTATTAAGTTGCATCACTTGTCTGATAGTGCTGTGAAAATTCCTGACAGATCCATCTGTGTCATAGGAAGGCTCTTTGCATATGCCGATCATTAATCACAAGTCCTTTCCCAGATTATGGATCTCATCCAGGACAAAGTCCAGGTCCTGCCTGCTGACCTGAGGACTGATCACAACCATCCTGAAGAAGTTGGCTTTTTCTCCAAGAGGCTGGTAGCCTGTCATCATGCTGCCTGTCTTCATCATTCGCTGTTTCACCACTGGGGCCACCTAGAGGAGCAGGGTAGAAACTGCAGTGACTTTTTACTCCATATTAATGTACCAAAAGCCGGCAGCAGTGTGTGAGAGGGTCACACTTTTCTTGTTTATCACAATAGAATTCATGCATTTGCCAAAGTAAAAGTGAATAATCTCTTCATGTCAGCATTAGAATACATTAAAATAACCCTCTGCAGTGATGAACTCCTTACAGTGTGGAGCTTCTTCCAGAGCTCAGGACTCTCGGGAAGGTTCCTCAGGCTTGGCGGAAGGTACCAGAAGCAAACGTTTGCAAATTCAGGCTGCAGAGAAAAACAGTTTAAATAATACTGCCTTAAAGATGGAAATGAAGGTCAGCTTTAGGGGTTTAGTTTCAAGTCATGTATGAATATGCAAGTACGTACTTCCAGCACAAGACGGAATCCTTCTCTTTTCTTGATCTCCTCTGCAAGATACCTACAATTGCATCACGTCAGGTTTCAGTGTTCAGTTTAAAAAAGAGACAGAAATCAAAATGTCTTCTTGATTGATCTGAAATTTTAATATTACAATGAAACGTGGTTGCACTGCCTTCTACATTAAGGAAACTGGGAAAACTGTACTTGTTATCAGCAGTCATGGCTGTGAGACAGTAAACGTAAAAGTTAAATATAACTTTACTGTGAAGGACAACTGATAATTTCTATTTGCCCACACTGACCTTGCCATGGCGAGGGCTCTGTCCACCCTCTGCTCCAGCTCTCTGCTTCCCAAAGCCTTCCACATGAGCCAGAACTTGAAGGCGTCTGGCTTCCTGCTGCACTGCACCGACTTGTCCCCCGTGTCGTAGCTGACATCGTAGAACTTGTCCTGCTGGAAGAGATAGGAGGCCCGAGCAGAGTGGCAGCGCTGCAGGAGACTCTGAGGGAGCAGAGTGAGGAAGACTTAACAAGAAAAAAGAAATTTAATCTCTTATGATTATACTGAAATGAAAACACAGGATAGAGGATGTAAAGGGCATCTGTCCCAGCTGAACACCTGACTCACATTCTGTTGATGTGGCACATCATTGTGGATCATTGTGACATTGCTGTCACTCTTGCTGGTTTTACTGGTGGTATTCGTTTTTTCATTCAGCAAATATGACTTATCAGACTTATCAGACTCACCGTTTTGTCTCTGACCAGGAAAGCAGAGCACTGCAGAGAGGCCATCAGCATCTTGTGAGGGTTCCAAGCAACAGAGTCAACTCTTTATCAAACAAATGAAAGATGACAGAGCGAGGTTACATTCCACCTCAGTAGGATGCAGTTCTACAAGTTTACGTTCTTCTTTGAAGCCCAAATTTACCAGTAACAGAAAAGTTGGTTTGCAGATGTATAGATAGTATGTCTTGATCTTTTGATAAAGAATGAAAATCACAAGATAAAATTATAGGGACTACAATAAAAATCTGCACGATTAAATGACAACGCTTACTTGTAGAAATTAAAATATATTTCTATGTGTTATACAGAGAGTTGCAGTTGTGTGTCACGCTGAAAAAAATCAGCTACTACATTGTATGCTTAGGGGGATTTGTACGTAGTGTTTACCTGTGGATGCCCTTTAACAAGTGTTTATGCTTCTTAGACATGATAGCTGCTCCTCCCCAACATGCCTGAGCACAGACAGACAGAAGAGGAAAGTACTGATGAGCAACGCTGAGCGACAGGAGGGATTAAATGAACGACTTGATTAAATAATGAGCTCACATCCACATGTAGCCACAAGTTGTGCTTCTCACAGATGTCAGCAATTTCGTCGATGGGATCGAAGGCTCCGAGCACCGTGGTTCCTGCGGTGGCGTTTACCATGAAGGGAACTGCACCCTGTGCACACAGAATGAGATATTATCCTTTGGCTCATTTCCCATTTCAAGACTCTTTGTATGGTAGCTCAGGAAAATAAGATGGTTGACTAACCTCACTTTTTGCCAACTTTATTTTCTCCTCAAGGGCTGAGGGAATCATCCTTCCTCTGAAAAAGACACGAGACAACCTCAATTCAGTCACTCTACTCTGTCTCTCGGCATTCATAGATTATCAGGAATTTTAAAGAAAAAAGGAAAGTGCGTGAAACAGACAGTGCACCTCTCATCAGTTGGGACAGTATAAACATTCTTCGTGCCGATCCCCATTAAAGCTGCTCCTTTGGAAATGGAGTAATGACACTGAAAGAGATTAAGCAAGAGTTTGTCAGTAAATATGCATGCCTGTGCTGGTTGCCGGCTTCCACAACCACACCAAATACTTCCAGATAACTCATGGGTTTTATTTTAATGTTTCCTAATGAATTACTCTTTAATCTTGAATGAAGCAAGGA